GACACCAGATCGATGCAATGTTGATAAGCGGAGGATTCAGGTTGAGGAAATGGGCGTCAAATGCAGCGGAAGTGTTGAAGGACATTCCTAAGGAGGATTTGGCTCTACCCAGTGCACAAGGGATTGATTGGGACCGAGACGCAGAAGTCAAAACTTTGGGACTAACCTGGCTTCCCAATACAGATTGCTTCAAATTTCAATTCACCGTTCCACCAGTCGCTGATAATCAACATTTCACCAAACGAAGTGTACTAAGCATCGTTGCAAGATTGTTCGATCCGTTAGGACTGCTAGGTGCAGCAATTACGACAGCGAAGATATTTATGCAGCGGCTTTGGAGTCTGGAAGATGAGCAAAATCAAAAACTGAACTGGGACGACCGTTTACCGAAAACGGTGGGCGAGGAGTGGCGCAAATATCAACAACAGCTGCCGTTGCTGAATGAGTTGAGGATCCCACGATGTGTCGTCGCCTTTGAAGCAATATCTTTCGAATTCCACTGCTTTTCAGACGCATCGATGCTAGCCTACGGCGCTACTGTCTACGTACGCAGCGAAAACCGAGATGGGTCATTCATGGTGCACCTGTTGACATCAAAATCAAAGGTCGCACCAATTAAGGTACAATCACTACCGCGCTTAGAGCTGTGTGGAGCACTCCTATCCGCTCAGCTTTGGGAGAAAATATCGAATGCCCTGAAGATGGATGTCAAGGCTTATTTTTGGACAGATTCAACATGTGTGTTGCAATGGATCAGGTCTCCACCTGGAACGTGGACTACGTTTGTGGCGAATAGGGTGGCTAAAATCCAAGCGTTGACGGAGGATTACAGTTGGAGCCATGTGTCAGGGAGCACTAATCCAGCGGATTTAATATCTCGTGGTATTCTACCAAACGATATCTCAAATAATGAACTTTGGTGGAATGGACCACACTGGTTGAAGGAGCCTAAGGATCAATGGTTATCGGACCCTATTCCACAGCAACATCCGCAAGAAGTGCGGAAGATAGCTGTATCATGCACCGCAGAGAAGGTTACGTCATTTATTTCGGACTATCTCGCTAAATTCTCGGACTACAATAAACTTCTTCGTTCCACTGTTTACTGGCTACGGCTGATCGGATTCCTAAAACGAAACAGTGAAGAAAGGAAAGGATTTCTAACTACAATTGAATTGCAAGAAGCAGAAAAATTGATTACCCGTCAGGTTCAGCAGGAACACTTCCCAAAGGAGATCAAGGCGTTGAAGGAAGGAAGCTCTGTAGCACGGAACTCCCCGTTACGATGGTTTAATCCAAGGATCACGGATGATGGTATCCTACGCGTGGGTGGAAGACTAGGTCATTCGAACGAGCCTCCGGCTGCAAAACACCCTATAGTACTTCCAGCAAATCACCATCTGACTGAGCTGATTCTACGCTGTTATCATCATAAATTGCTTCACGCTGGGCCTCAACTTCTTCTTGCTTCAGTAAGGCAACGTTTTTGGCCACTCGGTGGCAGAAATGTTGCTCGCAAAATTGTGCATCACTGCCAACGTTGCTTCCGAGCAAGGCCTTCGTACATAGAGCAGCAAATGGGCGAACTTCCTACGGCTAGAGTTACTATTGCAAGACCATTTTCGAAGGCAGGAGTGGACTATTTTGGTCCTGTTTACATACGAGCTGGTAGACGTCAAGCAGCGATCAAAACGTATGTCGCGATCTTTGTCTGCATGAACACGAAGGCCGTTCACATGGAACATGTATCGGATCTCTCCACGGAATGCTTCCTTCAAGCATTGCGACGATTCTTCGCCCGGCGAGGCAGATGCTCTGACATATATTCCGATAACGGAACCAACTTCGTTGGGGCTAAAAATAAAATGAATGAACTTTCCATACTACTGCGAGATCGTGATCATCGTGAGACTGTTACGAAGGAATGTACACAACAAGGAGTGCAGTGGCATTTCAACCCACCAAGTGCACCTCACTTCGGTGGCTTGTGGGAAGCTGCAGTACGTTCAGCAAAATATCACCTACTCCGAGTAATCGGAGATAATCCCGTCTCTGCAGAGGACTATCGCACTCTCCTAATCCAAGTTGAAGGTTGTCTAAATTCACGGCCACTAACAGCAATCTCGGATGACCCCACGGATTTGGAACCATTAACTCCTGCGCATTTCCTGATCGGAGGATCCATGCAAGCATTGCCAGAGCCCGACTATGGATCGGTACCGTTGAATCGACTTGATCGTTGGCAACTTGTACAACGTCAATTGCAAGATTTTTGGAAACGTTGGAGGACCGAATACTTGTCGCAACTGCAGGGCAGAACAAAACATTGGAAACCAGCCGTGGAGATAACAATAGACAGCTTAGTAGTAATTGTTGACAATCTACAACCACCAATGAAGTGGAAAATGGGGCGAATTGTCGAACTTCACCCGGGAGCTGATGGCATCACTAGGGTAGTCACGGTGAAGACCGCCACTGGAATAATTAAAAGACCAGTCACTAAAATCTGCTGCTTACCAATACAACACAATGCAGCATAGAAGTTCAGGATTGCTTCCCAGAATATCCAGTGCGTCGAAAGGGTTTTTTTTTGTATATTTTCAGAAGCTACATAGAAACTTCAGGATGGGCGAGGATGTCTGCGAATGATGTGATCGATTCGTATGGATGCAGCCAGGTCGAGTGATCGCACTGTATCACTTGAGGAGCCATGTCGGAGTAAGGCGAGAACCATACTGGCACTCATCGGTTAGAATGATTTCGCCTCAACCCATACTACTGCAAGGAAGAGAACCGAGATCCAACGACGATAAACAGAGAGAATCAGTCTGCTTCTACCACAGCTCGCGAACGGTCAACGGAGGGCGAACCTCCGCACGTATTAATTCAAATAAATGGTCGATGTGAAATAGTGTAAATATATGTCTTGTAGTTTTTCGTTCAATAAAGTGTAATTAATTGTAACCGGTGTTAACGTGCATTGCGCCCCGAAGAAGTCCCCGAATTGTGCCCCGTAGAGTGTAATCCGGAACTCCAGGGATTGTTCAGCCAATGCCAGCGAAGTACCACCAACAGCAAACAGCTGGTCCAGCGATGCGACAAGGTCACCCAAGGACGACCAACGAAGGTATCCCAACAATACCCTAAGCCGAAGTGTGGGTAGTTTTGTTGTAAAAAACATATTTTTAGATGAAATGCTGCAGCATTTAACGCACAATATTGATGGCCACACAAAAAACGTCAAATCGTGATGTACACTTTTATTAAACTTTTTAATAATTGAAAACGCGTTTATTTCTCCAGCTACATTATTCAAATTATCAAATAGGGTAAATGTTGGCTTCGGCACCCATTGACTGTTTTCGGCAGCCTAAATTTAAACGTTAATTTCACTATGTTTTCCCATCAACGCACTTCCCTGAATATGTCCAAACGATTGTTTAGCCTTTCAGCTTCAATCTGATTATATTTGAACGATCGAGTAATCCAGTAATGCTACATTTTTCTTCAAATAAAGCATACGCACTACAAAATGGGGTTGATTTCGAGTTGCCGATAATAGAACAGCTGGTTAACACGCAGTTCTAATGGATAGGTTGCCGAAGAAAAAGAGGCTGCCGACAATAGTCACACTCACCTGAGAAGTTTGGAGCGTTGTAAAAACGCTTTCAAAATGTTTTGAAAAATTCTGTCGATTGGAATGGATAGCAAGCAGCAGATGAATGTAAACAAACAGACACATCATATATGTGCGTGACGCTGAGAAAATGCTAGTAGAAGTGCAGACGCTGCTTAGATTGACGAGAATACGTAAATTCCCCTAATACATTATTTGATTTCAATGAAGCGCAATCATCACTGGTCCTCGTGAACAGTGGTGTAAGCGGTCACCGTAGTCGACACATTTTCTGTGATAATCGACTGTCTTTGCTTCCCAAGCTATCAAAGTACAGTACCAAACTAAAATGCAATATGACTAAACTAAAATGTCATAGTCTCTGTCATACGACATTGTCGTCGAAGACCGTCATGTATTTATGTATTTTAGTTGTAGGGGGAGGAGAGGCATAGTGAACAGGTGGGGCATAGTGAGCATCCCGCAGTTTGGCTCTGGATCTCCAGCTGCATGAAACATTATGATATTGATCCTACCACCAACCAATTTGTACCGAACGGCCAGAAGTCCAAGCTGGTGCACGGGATGCTCACTATGCCCTTCCTGTTCACTATGCCCCATCTGTTCACTATGCCCCACCTGTTCACTATGCTCCTCTTACCCCTACTACTATGATGTTCTAGTAATAACATTTCTGATCAGAAATGGTCAAAATTGAAGAATTAGCACGAAATAACACATTGTCATATGATAGTTATTTGATAATATTTGTTTTGCTCGAATGTTGTTCTACCGTTTGCGTTGTGTAAGAAAGACGACGGTAGAGCATGAGTGGACGAGTACAAACAGACTGTCGAGCACGACAAAAAAGCAAGTGTAGTAAAAAACGTCAACTGTTTCAACCCCTGCCCGTGATGCACGGACACGTGGCTTACTAGATTAAATGATTCTAATGGTAAGAAAATATTGTTACGGAAAGAAAATTGCATTGTTCCCTGATCAACATGATAAAAATATTCACCCTGTTTTTCGGAATCAATAAAACTGTACAATATTGCAATTTTCCTACCTTGGTTACGCTCTATTATTACAGAAAAATTAATATAAATTGAACGGACTCATTTTAACAACGATTTATATATTTTTTTTGTTAATTACTTTACTTATTATAATATTTAGTATAGATAAAAGGTTGTGATCATCTTCACTCATTCTACAATAGTTCGAACTCTTCTACTGATACATAGAAACAATAAGTATTGTTTTCGCAACACAAACAAGCACGTTCTCCTATGCATGTGGTAACCTCCCATGGTATGTGTGATAAGGAACGCTTTATCAATGTTTTGAACGGCGTAAAACTTTACCGGGCGCAGACGTTCATGTTCGTTTATTTATAATCCAACCATCATCAAATCAACAGCTCGCCTCTTGAGTATGATTTATACGGGTAAAAGCATCTCAAAAATCCATGTGATGAAACCAATAACAGTGATAACGGTGAATGTGAACTGAAATAATCAAATCATGCAGTGCCCTAATGTACGAAGATCAAAGTGGTATAGCACTTGGGAAAATGCTAGTTTCTAAGTTGCAAAACGCGCACAAGGATGAACACGCACCAGAATACTGATAAAGTCCATTATTTAGTTTAAATAGTTGACATTTATTGAAAATATTCAAAATATTGAGGTACGTAGAAATTAATAACTCAAGGAACAAAGTGTGGTGAAAATTATCCGTTTAAATAATGGGTTTAGTTCCGAAATTTTAGAAAAAAATGTAGTAAATAATGTTCAGTATAAAACTTTATTGCATCACAATGCATGCATCATCATGAAATAGTAGATGTAGATGTAGCTGTGATGAAATTACTATGGAAATTCTGATAAATACATAGTAATGTATGAGCTACAATAAGTGAAGCCATGTCTGTATTATTGTGAGAAAACTGGAGATCCAGTGATCGTAAGAATGTATTGTTCAAATGTATTTTGTCTTCATCAAAAATGTGAATCATTTCGAAAGGTAGAAGAAACATTGTTTAAAAATATCAATTGATATCAGTTTTTCCAAATGTCACACATTACTTTCACTATGTTCAGTTTGCCCCAGCTCTCCTATTTGTAATGATCAGTAGAATATTGCACTATTACTCATTTTTATTTTATTTTTTTATGTTAGAAGAAAACTTTCAAAAGACTGACCCTTTGGCAGGATGAGGAATTCTTAACCAATAAGGCCTCCTCCTCAAGTATGTTTCCCTATTTATTATGTTTTCTGATGTTCTTATTAGAATTGATGTTTGCTTTCATCTTAGTGTTCCAAGGACCCCTTCCTCGGTTATTATATGAGAACTTTCTAAGCCTACCATTACATTACTTGGAGTATTTTCTGGTAAGTATATAGACTTTATGGTCACATTGAGTGTCTACGGCCTCGCCCGGATAAATCCTGGATGTCTCAAATAAGTGTTCCATATTCCGAAGAATCCAATATCCTTCAGGTGAACTCACATGAATGTTCAAAAATCTAAGCAGACCAAATCAAGATACTGGTCCTCATGATCAGTGGTGTAAGCGGTCGACACATTTCCTGTGATAATCGAATGCCTTTGCTTCCGAAATTTGCAAGACAAGGTACCTTTACGAGTTTACTATAACTGAAACTGTTCTTTATCTTTATTAAAAAGCTGTGCTGTCAAATAATATATGAATTTTTGATTCGACCTTTTGATATGCATGAAACTTTGCATAATTTTCGTATGGGTAACCATTTCAATTTATGCTAAGATTCCATTTCCATATTTTTTTTTCAAAATGGCGTCTTCAAAATTTTGCAATAAATTGTACCACGGTGCTCGAAATTACGTCTGACACAAAGTTGTAGAGAAAAATAAAGTCTTTCTAAGAAAACTATACACGGAATTTTTTCAATTAATAATTTGAGTAAATTTGAGTAAAAATTCAAAAAGAGGATTAGTATTTTGAATATTACAAAACGTCGTTGATCATTCTTTATAATTAAAAAAATAAAAGTCAAATGAAAATTGGCCAAAATTGTTGAGCAAGAACTTTTGGCACATAAAAAATGCAAACTATCGAAACTTTTAAAAACCTGGACACTTGAAAATTTACATGAATTGTAGAACAACAACTTTTAGTATAATTTTTATTTTTTTTATAGGTACGCTATTTAATGTAATTTTCAAACAGGAAACAACATTCCCCGGGCTGGAAAAAATAACTAATGAACACCTAATTCTGATCTGATACCAAAATTTGGTGTTGATCAGCATGTCATAAGAGGTAAAAATCCAAAAAATTGCATGCAAAATGCTTTATAAATAACAAAAAAAATATTTGGATACAAAAAAAAATACCTGTGTGGTATTTTTTTTTTTTTTTTTTGTATTGCATTTGCAAAATTTGGTATTGGAATGGTATTGTGGGAACATTTGTTTGGTTTTTTTTATGTTGTCTCTTATGTCAGGATCATCCATACCAATTTAAGGTATCGATATATTCGTTTCTGCTTGGGTTGAGACATTTGTAATCGTTTTATAGCAAAAATCACATTAATAAAAAAGTGAACTAACATAAAGTTCAAAAAATTTACCAAAAGTTGTTTTTCTACGATTTTAGAAAATTTTCAGATGTCCAAATTTGAAAACGTTTCAAGTGCTAGCATTTTTGACGAGCTGTTGTTTTTTTTAAATCATTCATTTTTGAAATTAAGGTTTTCAACACTTTTTTTTATTTTTTCTTAAAACTACTAAATTTAAATTACCGTTTATGTTTTACCTAGGGGAAATGGCTCTAATGTTGGCGTATGGATCTAAGATTGGGCCCATCGCCAAAAATATGCTATTTATAAATTTTATGTAGCGTCGTTGGGACGGTATTAATGGATATTTTTGGTCGCTATTGAAAATTAAGTCGATTGCTGAATTTATGTATGGGCCCAAATTAGGGGAATTTATACTGACAGTACATCCATTTCCCATACATAGGCTATATATTTTTTTCTAAATATTTGTTCCGGATGTCATTTCGATCGGAAGTGATATTTTGCTACTACAATTTATTGCAACATGTCAAAATGGCTGGATTTCATCAAAAATGTGAATGATTGCCCATAACAAACTTTTATTCAAAGTTTCATGCAGATAGGAGAAGGTCGAGTCTAATCGATTCGTCATTTGGCATGGAACTGCTCAACAGCGTCATTTTGTTCTAATTATCCTATTTATGAAGACAACGGATTATCACAAGAAAATATGTTGACTACTGTGTCTGCTTACACCACTGCTCAAGAATCAAAGAATGGAACAGTTTCGTATTTTGATAGTCATTCGACCTGGTTACAGAATCGAGAGCAAAGCGTACGTAATCTTTTCCTTATGTAGAGTTGAGATGATGTACGCACATGATGTGCGAATCTCATTAACACCCCCAGTAACTTCTATAGCAGACTGTCATACTTAGATACATTTTAGAGTTCGATGTGGAGGAATGTTATTGGCAATTAAACGTCTGAATTAGACACCAGTGCCTTAAGTTTTAGTTTTATGCTGACGGCGTCGGCGGTTGAGTGATAAGCTTGATTACCTCTCACCTCAATGAGTTCAATCTTAGCGGAGGTCATTCGTGTTTCTTGTGGTAAAAAATGTCTTAACACGTTTTCCGTGGATTAAGAAGGTTTGTCCTGGCCTGTGTTGATGGTTTCGATATGAGTTTTTTTTTTTGTTATGGAAGTTAAACTAATGCGTCCATTGTTTGGACAGCGGCACCGGTGATGTAGTGGTAAGCGTGATTGCCTCTCACCCCAGCAGGCCTGGGTTGAATCCCAGTCGGCGCCGCCGGGATGTTCTGAGGCATAACATCTCTGATCACGCCTTCCTTCGGAAGGGAAGTAAAGCCGTTGGTCCCCGGTTCATGAGTTGATGGGTCGATAGGTAGCGTCCAGGTGTGGGAGCTGCCTCTCTGGCGTCGGTAGCATTGGTGCTCAGCACGGAAAACAAGATCGACGGAAAACAAATCAAGAAAAAAAAAATCCACTGTTTGGACATCTTGTTGTATTACTGTACGCGTCATGCAAATCAACCGCCATTGACCAAATTATTAGCAAGTACCATGAAAAAGCCCTCATTCAGGTATAATGTGGTTTATGAAACCAATCACCTTTCTAGAATTAGCAGCCCATATATGTTAACACAACTTGTAAGTTATATAAAAAATAATTGTTGGATCGATAAAGTTAAAGCGATTGATCCTTACAAAATAAATGATCTAGATAATGAAAGCAATTTATATCTTACAGGCCTGTAAAAACCATAATCAATCAATTTTGATCTGTGCCTATACCAGCAGAGCAGATGATCCGAGGTTTCGCTTTTCATGTTACAAAAGCGGCAAATATGATTATAACCAGTGTTCTTCACGTAGGGTTTCTTCCACTCTCTTCGATTTGAAAAATGTTTTTCGAAGTTTTGGATATGATGTGATATGTTTTACTTGTAATCAAGGTTGCTTCAACTTGCTACGCTATAAAAAAAATTCTTTTGAATTTTGAAATCATTCGAAGTTATTATAATATATTGAACTTGTACGTTACAAAATAAGGTTGTAAAGTATGATGTTGACCCATAACATCTGTCAATTTCGCTTATAAGTGTCACAAACAGCGATTTTATGATTCTCTAGTATCGAAAACTACAAGTTGTATGTGTAATACACACATACTTTACTACCTCATCTTATAATTTTCTAGTACAACATATCATCATAACATCTGAAAAGCATTGTTTATAGCAAAGTGAGTGAAAGCAACCTTGATTGTGATTGTACGTAACAAGAAGAGGTTGAAAAGTATGTGTTTGACACATAAAACCTGTCAATTCCGCTTTCAGAGATTTCAGCCAGTGTATGATGTGTGAGCGTTCACTCGTACTTATAACCTCTTCATGTTACTTACAAGTACAAAATATCATCATAAAATAGCATCCAATGATTCCCGAATTTCGAAAAAAAAAACATTTTTTATAGCGAGTGAGTGGAAGCAACACTGTCTGCAAATTCACTGCCTATAACTAGACCATGATTTTCATAACTGCCCATGTACAAAGGGCTATCGTGTTGATAACTAAAGCACACCCCACACGCATAAATATATTGATACGATGGGGAATTATTGAGAAATATATTGATGGTGTATGGTGCAGTATTAATAAAAACATTGTCAATAATAGTGTATTGCTGTGATTGACGAAAGTATTGACAATGCGATTATTCCGCTTAAGAGCTTGATGGTCTTAGGTGCAATTGGAAATATAAATTCTAATGACTGGCTACACTTCCTAACAGGTCCTTTTGTTCTTCCCAACACTTAAGGGAAGTTTACCGGTCCGAAAATAAAAAAAAATATTTTTGAAACGTTTTTATTTTTCTAAACATATTGGGGAAAATATCAAGAAACCAAGAAAATCAGTTTCTTCCTTATTTTGTCAAAAATTACATGTAAATTATTTTTTTATCTCATCTTGAAAAAAAATTGGTCTCTCAGCAAAACCGAAAAGTCGATGTTTTGTTGTTTTTTCAGTCCAACTTTACGCCATAATGATATATAAGAAAAGTTTTTGCACGGGAATTTTCTATGAAAAATTAGAACAATTTTTTTTTTTTAGATTTTTGTTACCTTTTTTCAATATTATTAGAAAAATCATAACGTATTTATTTTTTTCGGAGCGGTGAACTTCACCTTAAGTTGGATTTTATTGTAGAGTAAGATGGGGTAAAAGGTTGTTAAGAGGTTTGCGAAGCGAGTTACAGGCAACACTTTGTTCGGAGTTATTACATTATAACTTTTCTAGCAACTTTGGGGACGTACAACAAGAATAAATAGTGAAGATATAATTTTATTTCAGGTTATGATTGCGTTTCTCGTGATGATGTTTTTATGAGTATCAGATTTTGAATATACCTTCAGAAAGCAGGAATTGTCTAAGGGTTAACATGAAATTATTCCCACACACATAAACAGCTGTAACTTTTTAATCACGATACCAAATGACTTTAATTTTTCAGAGAAGGAGTTCTTAACATGAAAAATTATGCCAAGGTTCACGACAAACTTATACCCGTTTTATAATCTGAAAAAAGTCGTTTAAATTTTGTCCTGTTGCAAAAGTACAATAAGTAATTTTTTACTTTTTGGTATGTTATTTGTTAAACATATTAACAGATTATATAACTTTATAGCATTGGAGAAGTTACTTTTTTATGTGGGAGGTTTAGATTATTTACGTCAAAACGTGTCAAAATTGACCAACTGCAAAATATTTGGAGATGTAATATTTGCCTTAAAAATGGTTAGGTCAACAAATGTCCTTGATTGAC